CATCAGCCACTACTGGCCGCTCTTTAGTGAATCCTCTCGACAAATGGCTAAGAATTTGATCAGGAAGTTGATCACGGATTTTAGTGACAGCCTCAATGACTACATCACCAAGCTACCTTCTTTAGGCCACATCGCAGAGTTGGCAGATGTCGAAGCGGAGCTCAACGCGGCGCGTCCAGTCCTGGACAGCAGGACGGCATTTGCCCTCTTTGCCGAGCGCACGTCTCACGAGAATTCGGGTGTCGTATTACTGGCACTGACCGAGCTCGAGGTCTACCTCAGACAGAGTGGAGGCTTCCTCCAGACTTCAGCCATCAGCCAACAGCCTGACCCGGTCGTACCCATGTTGATACGAGCCTTGCTAGACTGTGCAGCAAAATATAGTGCTATGCACCAGCTTGAAATTGCCAGTCTTTGTACTCAGTGTATTGGCCTGGTAGGTTGCCTCGACTCTAATAGAGTGGAAGCGCCACGAGAGCAACAGTCAATGGTCATTTTGAGCAACTTTGAGAGTGCAGACGAGACGACCGACTTCGTGTTGTTCATCTTGGGACAGATCCTCGTCAAGGCTTTCTTGTCCACGACAGACACCAAACTGCAAGGCTTCCTTTCCTTTGCCATGCAGGAACTGCTCGACCGGGTGGATATCAAGGCTGCACTAGCTATGAAAGGAACTGGAATGCGGGATGGTGGTGTCATCTACAGAAAATGGCTAACACTATCGGAGAGTGACCGCAATGTCTTGACACCTTTCCTTACCTCCAGATATCTTTTGACACCTATGAACGTGGTTCCAGTTGAGTATCCTATCTTCCGCCCGGGAAAGCCCTACGGAAATTGGATGCGTTCATTCAGCATGGATCTCTTGGGCAAGGGTCAAAATGGGCACGCGGATCTCATCTTCGAACCACTATGTCGCACTATCAAGGTCAAGGACTTGGCTGTTGCCGAGTTCCTGCTGCCATACCTTGTGCTCCATGTCATTGTAGGCCACCGGAGCACGCGAAAGGATCGAGACAATGTCATTGGAGAGCTCGTTGGCATTCTTCAGCACCAACCCGCTGAGGACGCGCCCTATTCGGAACGAGAAGATATGAAGCTGTACTGCGAGGTGAGTAAGTTTTCGTGAGATATTGGTTGTGTCACTAACCAAAATCAGGCGGTCTTCAGAGCTCTCGACTACGCGAGTAGATGGCTTCAAGAGAAGGATGCAAGACGCAAGAATGATGATGATCTGCCCGCGATAGGACGTGTTCAGGAATTGCTCAACACCATCCCGCCAGTGCTCATCTCTCAACGTGCGATGGATTGTAGAGAGTACCCGCGAGCGCTCTTTCACCTCGAGCAGCATGCCCAGCAAATGGAGGTTGAGAACAGTGACCCAAGGCAGAAAACTTTGCTACTCGAGCAGCTGCAGGACATCTATACTCAGATTGACGAACCTGACGGACTGGAAGGAATTTCCGCTCATCTGCACGTCTTGGATATCAACCAGCAGATTCTCAGTCACAAGAAGGCAGGTAGATATACTGCAGCTCAAACTTGGTACGAGATCAAATTGGCAGAAGAGCCTGATAACATCGATGTGCAAATCGATTTGCTCAATTGTCTGAAGCAGTCCGGCCAACACGGTAAGAGAATATGTCACCTAAGCACGGGTGGCGCACAAGTGCTAACATGATCAGATGTTTTACTCAACTATGTTGAAGGCATGCGAACAGAACCTTCGACAGAAAACAAGATCGTTCCATACGCAGTTGAAGCAGCGTGGGCAACGAGAAGATGGGATACTTTGAACAAGTACACTGCCCGATTCCATGGCAGCCCTCTGGAAGACTTCAACGTCAGTATCGCCAAGCTATTCGACGCTCTGCAGAAAAGGGGGGCTGGCAGCGATACATTCCCCGAAATGCTGCAAAGTATGCGAGAAAAGATCGCCTCCGCCATGACACACGTGGCAACGTCATCTTTGCAGGCCTGCCACGACCTACGACTTAGATGTCATGTTCTTACTGACCTTGAAATCATTGCTGGAACTCAAGCTTCGGAGGGCGATGCACATCAGGAGGTTCTTGCGATGCTCAACCGTCGCCTTGAGGTTCTTGGGGCGTACGTAGGCGATAAGCAGTACTTGTTGGGTATCCGCAGGGCGGCCATGGAGCTTTCACGGTATGTGCAGCATTGTCTCCCGGCAAACCTAAGCTAACCCTTCATAGGCCCAAGTTTTCCGATCTCGACATATCTTCGCTGTGGCTCTCAAGCGCTAGGTTGGCTAGAAAAGCCAACTCAACCCACCAGTCTTTCAATGCCGTATTACATGCTTCCCAACTCGGTGACGGAGCCGCAGTCATTGAGAATGCTCGGCTTCTGTGGAAAGATGGTCATACGCGCAAGGCCATCCAAGTTTTGCAAGGAGCCATTGAATCAAACAACTTCATGACGCAGACCAACAGCTCCTCTTCTATCCGTGGCATGGATGCTCAGCAGAGGCAATTGACGGCCAGAGCGCAACTGATGCTCGCCAAATGGCTCGACGCTGCTGGTCAGACCAACCATCTGACACTGCGTGAGAAATATCAACAACCCCCTCTCACAGCTAGCGCCTGGGAAAAGGGCCACTACTACCTAGGGCGATACTACAAGAAAGTACTGGAATCTGAGAAGACGCTCAAGGCAGACGATCAAACCGACCCCTGCATTCAAGGCGAATACACCAGACTCGTCGTCGAAAATTACCTTCGGTCTCTAAACTACGGCACCAAATATCTCTACCAGACCATGCCGAGAATTCTTACCCTGTGGCTCGAGTTCGGTGCGCAGGTTGACAAGGCCCCCGAAGGCAAAGTTTCACTGTCTCGTGAGCTCCATAGGAGGCGAACGGATCAGTTGAACCTCCTTCACCGATTCCTCGACAAGTCCATAGCCCGAATACCAGCATACATCTTCTACACGGCACTTCCGCAAGTTGTAGCAAGAATTGCTCATCAAAACAAAGATGTGTATGAGCGTTTGACGCATATAGTCATCAAGGTTGTGCAATCTCACCCTCGGCAAGCTCTTTGGAGTTTGTTCGGAATCATGACAACGAGACAAAACTCAGAACGTCGGGCAAGGGGCCAACAGATCTTGCAAGCGTTGAAGGGAGTCACCAAGAAGGTTGATGGGAGCAACTATGAGCTCAGGCAGCTCTTGAGGATGGGCGAGAAGCTCGCAGAACAACTCCTATTGGCTTGCAACAACGGCGATTTCCAAAGCAACAGGACGACAGTTGCGAGCATCACGCGTGACCTAAACTTCAACCACAAGTGCACCCCTTGCCCTCTGGTGGTTCCCATCGAGTCGTGTCTGACGGCTGCCTTGCCAACACTGACTGACAATGTCAAGACCCACAAGGCGTTCTCTCGAGACGTCATTACCATCGACTCCTTCCTGGACGAGGTGCTGGTTCTAGGATCTTTGGCCAAGCCGCGCCGACTGACCGCACGCGGAACGGACGGAAAGAGCTACATGCTTATGATCAAACCCAAGGATGATCTACGCACCGACCAGCGTCTGATGGAGTTCAACAGCATGATCAACAGATCACTGAAGCGGGATCCCGAGGCTAGCAGACGCCAGTTGTACATCAAAACGTATGCCGTCGTGCCTCTGAACGAGGAGTGCGGTATCATCGAATGGGTTGATGGGTTGAAGACACTGCGCGAGATTCTTCTGGATCAGTATAAATCCCGCCAGGTACACCCTGACTACAACCAGATCAAGCGGATGATGGCTGAGGCAGTGACGGGACCGAACAATATTAAGATGTTCACCGAAGGCGTCTTGGGCACGTTCCCGCCCGTGCTGCAGCACTGGTTCGTCCAGCGTTTCCCTCACCCTTCGACTTGGTTCTCTGCGCGGCTCAAGTACACCCGGTCCTGCGCCGTCATGTCGATGGTGGGCACAATCCTGGGACTTGGCGACCGACACGGTGAGAACGTGTTGCTGGAGCGCGACAATGGCGGCATCTTCCACGTGGACTTCAACTGCCTCTTCGACAAGGGCTTGACATTTGCGCAGCCAGAAAAAGTGCCATTCCGTCTCACGCACAACATGGTGGCGGCTATGGGCATCTACGGATACGAGGGTCCCTTCCGGCACTGCAGCGAGCTGACCTTGGGGATTTTGCGGCAGCAGGAGGAGACGCTGATGACGATTCTCGAGGCGTTTATTTACGATCCTACGTTGGATCTGCAAAAGGAGAAGAAGACGAGCCGTCGGCAGGACGGGGCGCCTAGGATGCAGCCGCAGCTTGTTGTCGACAGCATCAAGCGCAAAGTTAAGGGGCTGATGGGACAGGACACGATTCCGCTGGGCGTGGAGGGCCAGGTAGAAGAATTGATCAAGCAGGCTGCTGATCCGAGAAACCTGGCGGCTATGTATATCGGATGGTGCCCGTTTTTGTAAGTTTGGGTCTTTGGGGAAATGCGTATAAGAGGATATCGTTACGGGCTAGAATTGACGTCGAGGGATGAACAGAGGCATGAATATGGGGGTTTGGTCGGACATTGGTGTTGGTGGTGGTGCAACGAATGTAGATGATAGCACGAGTGGCTTTTACTGTACCTATACTTATTACAAGTTCTACCAAATAAATCTTTGTGGTTACTCTCGATTTGAATTCCTTTCTTCTCCCCCACAGATATCTATCTGATGTGTTGGTGTCTTCTTTTCATAAATGGGTTAGGTCGTTTGCATTCCATCCCGTCGTCTTATCGGCCACCACGTGTTCTGGTCATGCGAAGCTCTCCGAGCTGGAGAAGTTCAAGGCCGCTGCCTAGCTGTGATTAGGTTCCCGCACAGGGGTTTAAGTGAACAGACGCACTGAAGCTGGAGAGCTTTGGGCAGCTAAAATGGGCCCGGCAGGCAGAAGACAGGAGAAATGGTCACTGCCCGCCTCTCAACCAACGTCACTCCCCTGTTCTTTCCCTTCCTCGGACAGCTTGAGGTGCTTCTTCCCAAATCTGTCATTACCACATCACCTCCCTCGCATTTATTCTTCTTCCAGACACCTCCGTTTATTCTTGTCACTTTCTTCGAGAAGACCTTTCCCCACCTCCAATCGCTCTTGAACCTGTCGTCAAAATGCCTGACTACCGCATTGGTAAGTTTTCAAATTGCTGTGATTTTGACTTTCGGTCTGGCTTGTCTGGAGCTACGGTCGCGTCTGGCGGACACCCGGCGACGCGTCCAAATTTCGGCCTCACGTCATAGGCGACCGAGACTCCCTTCTCAAACGTCACTTCAAGCTCGCGCAACACCCGCACATATACGCATGCTAATACTCAAATTTCTTCCAAATGCAGAGGTGTCGCCCAATAACCGCGCCGGATGCACCGATGGCGTGTGCAAGAAGGCCGCGGCCAAATGCTTGAAGGGTTCCCTTCGCTTCGGCACATGGACCAAGATTATGGATCATGAGTCCTTCAAGTGGAAGCATTGGTATGCTGGCCCGTCTTCATTCCTCTGGTCATAGTTCACTCCCCCGACCGCTACACACAACTTTGATGCCATTCAAATGACAATATACTGACATGGTCGATTCAAGGGGATGTGTTTCTGGTGAGCAGATCAAGCACGTACAGGACCTTTGTGAGAGGAACGGAAAGTTCGACTTTGACGCCTTCGATGGCTATGATGAGATGGGGTTAGCCTGCGTTCATTCCTTTTTCACTCTCTCTCCATTGCAATACGCCGCTGATATGCAAGTCTAGCGATCACCCTGATCTTCAGGCAAAGATCCGTAGCGCCATAGAGCAGGGCCACATTGACGCCGCGGACTTCAACGGTGACCCCTGGATGAACAAGCTCGGCCAGCGCGGCATTCGCGGCAAGAAGCCCAAGGACTGGGATGATGGCGAGGAGGAAGATGTTCGTCTCAGTACTTTGCATATGCAACTTTACATACTGACACCTATATACAGGAGGATGAGGCCCCTGCCAAGGGCAAGAAGCGCGGTCGCAAGGCCGCTGATGACGAGGAAGAGGAGAAGCCCAAGGCTAAGCGCACCAAGAAGGCCGGTGCCAAAGCCGAGGCTGAGGACGAGGTGGAAGAGAAGCCCAAGCCAAAGGCCAAGCGCGGTGCTCGCAAGTCCGCTACCAAGGAGGAGGAATCCGATAATGGGGAGCCAGTAGCTGCTCCCAAGCTCAAGCGTGGCCCCGCCAAGAAGGCTGCCGCTGTCAAGAAGGAGGAATCTGATGCGGAAGAGGCGGAAGAGGCTCCCAAGGCCAAGCGTGGTCGCAAGTCTGTCGTCAAGAAAGAGGAGTCTGATGTCGAGGAGGCGGAAGAGGAGGCTCCCAAGCCTAAGCGTGGTGCCGCCAAGAAAGCTGCCCCCAAGAAGGCAGCCACGAAGGTCAAGGCGGAGGAGAGCGAAGAGGAGGCGTCTGCTGCCGAGCCCGAGGCTATTCCCAAATCCGAGGAAGAGGAGGAGAAGCCTGCGCCTCAAAAGGCCAAGGCGGCACCTAAGGGTCGCAAGAAGGCTGCTCCTGCTGCCGAGGCGGAGAAGCCCAAGTCGACGCGAGCCAGTCGTTCTCGCAAGTGAGTCTCTTAAAGATGCCCGTGATGTCGGGATAGGAAGCTGATCTTGCTAGGTGAATTTTGCTGCTTCAAAGGGCGGTCCGACCTATGCTGTCAGGTGACATTATGCGAAGCTGTTTTACATACATATGTCGAACTGCTCCTGGGCACTTGATCGCCAGCGGATGTCCGACTTGTTGTCTTGTCGTTTCAATGTTCGTTCTTACGAGTTCATACCCTACTGATGAGACTAAACTCATATGAACCTTTCCCGCATAAAGGCGAGGATGCTGTATATCACTCTAATTTGCTTTGTCTTGTGTCGTCAAAAGTTGTCGAGGTTTTCGAAGGACTGTAAGGGGATTTCCATGTTGACGTGGAGAGCATAGGCTCGGTCGAGCGACTGGCCCATTAGTGTTAGATAGGCTTCGGTGAATGAGACGCTGTAATATTGCAATTGTCTCTCATGTCTAGATGTTCTGTGCCTGCTGCTCAACTAGTTCTCTTCATGGTAAGCAGGTCCTTCAAGTTGGTCTGATCCAGTCAACGGATACAAGTAAATAGTGATCAGGATGAGGTCACAAAGCACCTCACAGCACACATGTTAAGGAACGCTCGGTGGTAGTCTGACACAGTTGAATCAAGAAGATAACGTAAAATGGTCGCGGGGGTAAGGAATATTAAATGAGAGCCGCCCTTTCATATCGATATATCCTCTCGTGGAGGAAACATCCTTCGTCCGGGATGACTATGTCCCTGCCGGAGGGGCACTCTCGCCCTTCAAAACATGGGAGGCAAGCTTCGCGTCACCGGAGTCCTTTACAGTACGTGTACCTTGGGTAGGATTCTGCATGTTTTAGTTGTTACAGTATGAAAAGACCCGATTCCCTGCCCTGTCTCAAGAGACGTGCGAGCAGAGATGACTGTGCTTCGATGTCTCTACCTCAAAATTCATGGAATGAATCTGGGATTGCGACTGATAAGTGACGATAATAGACAAATGTATACAGATGTTCCTCATTCTAGTAAAGTCGAGTCTCTAAGGGACCCTGTCGGCTATGATTCTCCCCGTTATCATTCACTTCCGAATACCCAGCCAAAGAAAACAAGAGACTAACGAAGAGGTACTTCTCGTGTTCGTGACTACGTTGTAGTGGCTACGCCTAGAGAAAGGTCAAAGGCATCAGGCTACCCTATTCGACAGCGTTAGGGAAGGAACTCCATGGTCTGCGTCCGTGAACGACGCAGCACAGTCTCGGTGCCTGCGTTCGATGTTCCTATACGAGGCGGCAAAGCTACTCTTAAGTACTCTTGCTTTACACCTTAGGAGACGAAAACTGCTCCCCGGAGACTGTCCTGTCTCCTTGAGCACGATTATCTGTAATGTAGAACACCAAGCAGCTTTATTTTTGTGTGACTCCCGTGCTCCCTGACGGAGGAGGAAAGCCAAGTATATCCCAAGTGAATCAAACTTGGCCTTGAGCTTTTTCCACACCGGCCGCATGTTACTCCATTCTCTAAGCCCAGAGGTTAGTGTTGGTCACGTCACGTGAAATTCTATCACATCTCCAAGTATGCCTAAAACTCTCCCATTATCCATCTATCACACCCTTCGACTTCACTTCTGAATACCCAGAAAGGGGCTTAAAGAGACGTAGGACGTAGTTCTAGGCGGTAAGCTAACATGGAGAGGTTGCGTGAGGTTAAATGAGGCATTTCCCTGCTTATGGGTCATGAATCCGTACGATTGCCTTATTTATGAAGATGTAGATGAGACTACACTGCCTTGAAGGGTCAGATATCTGCTGCGTTGCCCGCTGGTATGTTTATAGGGAACAGGGAGAGGAAGCCGCAATGGATCCGGCCACGTAGTAAGCTGAACTGCTGTCCCAGGCTATCTGCAAATCAGCATCGGATTGAACCTGGATCATTTCTTTCTGCTTGACTTGAAGTTTTTCGACCCACTGCGTGTATTTACACAGAATAGAAGTAGTAGATTTTATAGACTCGTTATACGATCCAGACCTTGAGAAGGGTGGTTGTTGGCCAGGGCCCTAACAACACTTCATCTACAAGAATCGAGAGAAGACATGAGAAACCCGCTTCATTCATGTTGGTCAGATGAAAGCACAACGAGCCCTTCTCAACTTCCAGCTTGATCAAGCTCGTCTTTCCTCCTGAGCGCTGCGGACGGCGGTCTGCGCAAGACAGGCCAGATACAATCACGAGAAACGCCAGAGACTATCGAGAGCAAGATTTCAGTCACTCAAGCAGCCAGAGCCAGGGAATTTTGAGTCATAAGTTCGTTATTTGCTCCTAATACAATCTAAACTCCGCCCTATTTCTCCGCCGCTATGTTGTATTCATAAATCGTTACACATGGTGCTAGGCAGAAAACCCCATATGTTGAGTGGAAAAAAGTGAAGTAGAAAGACACACATTTGCCCGCCCGGCAGATCCGGTTTCTCTAATGCAGGACATCCCATCCCGAAAATGATATGTTCTGTAGTCCGAATCCAAATGTAAGGCGTGCCTGTCTCAGGCCCCCCTCAAAGTTGCCGCATGTCGGCTGGGTATTCGATTTGTATGTTCCTTGGGCTCACTTGTGCTGTGTTTATGCAATGCTTAATAACGTCGGGGACGCTGACTGTCGTAGACAACCTCGCGCTCGTAAATTCGCTCATCATCGTACTTGCTGCTTGGTCCGCGGTGGTGATGGTGATGAGAAGACCGGCGGTCCCAGTCATCATGCACCCACTCCCTCTCATATTCGCGGACGCGCTGCTTGCGGAAGCGGCGGATATCGTCAGATACCTGCACCAATTCAAGCACATCATCCTGTATCTGGTGAGCAATTTGACCGTGCTAACATCAGGGAGACAAAACTTACGTATTTCAGGTATTGCATGATGTAGAAAAAGTATTCAGTCTCTTCGAAATCATATCCGAGCTGAATAATGGCATCGCGAATGACCAGGTCCTTTGTGATCTCGGTCCACATCTCGTTGCGCTTTGAGGGAGGTCCGCGGCGCGGGGCGCGATCCTTTGTCTTCTCAATCTCGATCTCAGTCTCGCGGTCATAAACCTGGAGGCTGAGGCGGTCTCGGGACTCTCGCGGTGAGGGTTCGGCGGGAAGTGGGGCCGGCGCCGAGATGGGAGCGCCGTCCCGTTCAGGAATGAACTGTGCCCGCCTCACACCGTTGTAACGCTGCCAAGTGACCTCGGCAGAGCCACCGCCAACGCCATCCATACGGACACGCTCAGTACCGGGCGGGACATCGACAATAGACCAGTCTTTGGTGGCACCGTTCCAAGCCTCGCCCATCTTGCCGCGTGAGTCGATCTTGGAGGTGATGTACTCGGCTTCCTCATCGACGGGTGTGCGTGCTGCCGCAGAGTGAGCTCTGCGGCGTGACCCGCTGTGGTAATGACGGTCGTCGATCCGGAGACGGTCGGTACTCACGACGAGTTCTCTGCTGTCCTGGAAAGCGGGGGATCTGCGCTCCCTGCTAGGAGACCGGTGCCGGCTTTGCGAGCGGTGAATGTCAATGTCGGTCCCTCTGCGGGAGGTGGTGATGTCGATATCTAACTCCCGCTCTTCGGTGCGGGTCTTGGGGCGAGGAGCGGGACGAGGGGGGGGCGGCGGGCTGGGCACACGGGTAACACCTGGATGCATTAGACCTCGCGGGGGTCTTATTTCCTGCAGTTTGTCCTTGTACTCACCATGATCGATGTCTCTATAGTGCGTGATGACTTCTCTTTCGATCGTGGGGCCGCGAATGACCTGAGGTTGAGGCGGTGGTGGTGGCGGTGAGGGCGAGGGCGAGGGAACCCGCTCTCTTTCCCTCTCACGCTCGACGATACGCACGCCAACGCGGCTGCGTTCTCTGGCTGGGGGAGGAGGAGGAGGAGAGGGCGAGCGCTGCCTCTCAACGTATCGAGCGCGGATCATCTCCGGAGGAGGGCCGCGGGACGGACTGCGAATCTCTCGCTCGCGCTCAGTGACGCGGACTCGGGAGCGCTCGAGCTCTTGCTCATGATGAACGTGCGGGGGTGTCAAGCTGCGGGCTCTGCGTACAACCCGCTCGCGGTAAACAGGGCTAGGGCTGCGGGCGCGAGGCCGTGACAGCTCTCTTGATTCAACCTCTCTGCGGCTCAGAACAAGGGCTCCGGCTTCGGGAGGACGCTCATCGCGCAGGAAGCGGAGGCGGTCACCTTCTCGCTCACGCTCGCGCTCCTTCACACGAACATCAACTTCGTCGAAGGCAACTCGGCTCTCGGCGCGCTGGCGGCGCGGGGCGTCGTAGAAACGCTCCTCAAAGTCGTTGGACCGGTAAGCCATGTTTTGTTGGCGAAACGAGAACGGCTTTTCGCTTTAGGAGAGGTGTGACGGATAGGCGTCCGTGAGTGTTTGTTTGTGAGTTTATCTGAACAGGTGGGATGAATGGCGGGGTAGTAAGCCGGTGGTGAATGTGTAGCGCAGGTGATAGCGTGGGTGTTACGGACACTAGACAAGACGATACACCAAGATCCTGCGCAAACAGAAAAAGGCGACGCTGAAAAGAGGATGAGCCAAATGTGTCTTGTAGCGCTGGAAATGAGCGACACACGACGTATGGCAGTGGAAGAGGTACTTTAATCTGAGGCCGAGCCTAGAGCTGCGCCGGCTAGGGAAGAGGGGGTGAAGAGAAGGGGTTGAGAGAGTGAGAAAGAGAGAGAGAGAGGTGAGAGGGAAAAGAGTCAGAGTAGGAGCAACGTCGTCATACCACAGTAGGAGAGCCGGGTATGTATGTATGTATGTAGGACGTAGGTAGGCAAGTAGGCAAGGTGGTATGTAATTAAGACAACCGACAGGTGATATAGGGCGGCACCAGCAGGCTGTATGTGTGTGGTCCTTGGAGGTTCGTGGGGGATCTCTCTCAGGCCTTGGTGGATGGGGACTGGGAGTGGAGGGGGAAAAGAGAGGGACGGGAGAGCAATGGAAATGGGAGGGGTTGGCTGGCTCAAGAGGTGAAAGCCGTTCTTGCTCACCACAGGCTTATTTTGCATAGCGGGAGCGGTCGAGGTCTGTCGAGCTCGAGTCGAGGCCAGTCCCAGCTGTGGGCAAGCGCCGCGCGGTGAACCGCTGTCACTGAGCAGGGGTGTTCCCGACGTTTTGTCTATGTTGCTGCGGGTAGCGGGACGGTAGGGATGCCGTCGCAAAGAGAACGGAGGGTGTCGAGGCCCTGTTGGAACTCGCGCGTGTACACTTTAATTTAGGGCAATTTGGGCCGACTTTTGGGATGTGAGAGTTTGCGGACGGCAGTGTTCTACGGACTATGATGTTCAGATGCCAAACTTTGTGTTTGGAGTTGCATGTGCGGCGGTGGCAATGGGTGCCCTATCGTGAGCCCTTGACGAACGATGGCCGAATGCCCAGTCAAATAAGGTAGAAACGGAAGAAGATGGGGAAAATGGAACAAGGCTCCAGCGATCCGGGAATCAACGATGCAGGCTGCGCTACGTTGGGCTGGGCCAACAAAAAGCAAACGGAAAGATGTCGATAGGTTGCAACTTGCAGCTGGAGACGGGCGAAGCATATCCGTGAAGTAAGGTACGTAGCAGATGGTGATTGATGACGGGCAGCTGGTGGTAAGCCGAAGGAAAGGCATGGAAGATGCAGCGAAAGGCGATCTTGGGACCTGTTCTGTCTTCTCATTCAGTCAAGTCGTCAACCATCCACTTGATTGCATCGGGAGGCATCCACTTGGGCTCTGGCAGTGGCAGTGGTGCAGCAAAGCTGAGGAGTTGCTTCCTGGGCATTCATTGGGCTGACAGGAGGGCAAATGGGCGCCTGGTTTCTCACCGATCTCTGGTGCCCAATGACTGCCTGCCTGCTTGACTTGTGACTTGCAGGCTGGGTGCAATAAGTATACCTTACTACTCCGGACAGAGAGAGGCATCTTGATATCCCGCATCCCTTCCACAGCTTGAGTGACCGCCCGAGGAAGGCTTGGGTGTTCCGGATTGGCCGTTGTGGAAGGAGTCAAATCTGAGTTCCTAAAGTATCGATATGATAGAAATGACCTTGGCTCCTGCTTCGCCCTTCTTCCATAACCGAGGGACCTTGCTTTACTTTACCGTAAGGTACGGCAGGCAAGATAGAAGGCACGCCAGTCGAGGCCGTCACTTCCAGTCCTTGAGGTGTCCAGTCTCTTTACTGCAGACAGACAGCCTGGTCCGGCTGCTTCCACCAGCGTTCCATCGTGTCTCTCAATGACACCCCAAGTTTAGGATGATGGAGCTCTGTGTCCCTGGAAAGTCCGCGGCCAAAGTACGCATGAAGTTGGCTTGAGAACTCCAAAGACCTGATTTTAGATCATAGTGTATCTCTGCTATTGCTTGGGGAGTCCGGTTGAAACAGGGGACGGCGAGAGGTCTGTCGTGCTAGGAAAAGCTCCTAATTGTGGGAGGATGGCGGGAAGAAGCTAAGGCGATGGGAAAGTGGAGCTTGCACTGGCCGTTGTCCAACTTTTCTCGCTCCTTCTTTCCAATCATTCTTTCCCATCCGCTATCCACCAGTCATCGTCACTAGTCACCATGTCACTGTCACAAGCACACTCTGGATTTCCAAAAGGCAAGAGGGGACGGGAAAGCTCTCGACGCTCTTGAGTCTGCGCAGTAACTTGATAGCTGCTCGCGCCTTCCCTGCATTTGGCAGTCCCGTCCAGGCAGTGTTTCCCCTCCCACCTTCCATTCGGACCATTCCCCTCCCCCTCCTCTTTCCCCCTCCATCCGCCGTGCCCAGCCCCGTCACATTCGCACCTGCTCTGAAAACTCATCGCCAGAAAAGGCACTGACGCAATCCTGCATCCACCCTGGCCAGTCACTCCTGCCTTGCAACTACTCCGTACTGCATTGCCGCTCTTCACCATTCACCTTACCTTGACCTTCCTGTCGGCTCTGCCCCGCCCTCTGCCCACTTTTGCTTCTCCTTCTTACGCCAAGGCATTTCTTGGACACCAATTGTACGCAGTGAAGACAGAAAGAATCACTTCCAGTTCGTGCTTGCCGTCCCATGCAATGCCACTTCTGGATTGACAACTGCCGGGTCTTCTCCGTAGAAAAAACCTATGTATCCTGTTCTGAGGCAAATGTTCCCTGTTCAACTGGACACTTTCCATCATCACGTCGCATTTGTTCGTCTTACAAACTACAAGCTACAATGAGCACAACCAACTGCTCGGGGCTTGATCCCCATCTCAAATGAACATCCGGGAATAGCTACCGCCTAACCAACACTGTAACCGCAGAGCAAGACTTCGGTAACCGGACAGTTCAAGCCATGTGTCGTCAAATAGTTCCCGCCAATTCTCCGCAGTTAGGCTTAGGTTCGGCTCTCACCGACTATGCCAGGATATCGCTGCTCCAGTCACAGCCTGATCGTCAGGACCGACCCATCAGTCACGCCCAAGGACTCCCACAGTCTGACTAGCTGGTAGACGCGAATATACTCGCCCAGTCTTCCGCCTGAAGCTCTGAAGGGGAGCCAAGAGAGGTCGCCTTTGATTCGCCCGCTTCATACCCTCAATACCTCAGTGCAGACGTTGGAGACATGCCAGAACTGACATCCCTGATTGGACCGTCCCGACGTCCCGGAAGACCCTGGAGAGAGACATGCCATCACCCGGGCCGTCCACGCGATACTCCGTTATGAAGTAGCCTCTCACACCATTTTGAGACATGGCCTGGTCTTCATACACCACAGATCCCATCTCTACCTTTTCGGGACGTCTTCAGCCTCGAACACCACCCTTCTCCAGTAGCACCGAGCTGCGTCTTGACTTGGCACGAGCCACTGTTGAACGTGATACCCTCGTTCACTCTGGACCTTGGAGCGCTGAATCCTCCGGACGTCAATCGCCATGTGCTCACCATAGTTTGCTGCCTCCAAGGGGCCCGAGTTGTCAAAACAACCTGAAATATTGTTACGAGTATACCGAGCTCGACATACTCCAGGTCTTCCGACCCGATACCAATTTCAACAAGTTCGCATACCTTCTCGATTATTCATGCCCTGGATTGCGCACCACGAGACACGTGGCCAAGTGTTTGGGGGGGCCCCAGAGCCAAGCAAATGTAGTTTGGTCATCCAAGCCGGCAGCCATCATATTGGAAACGGAGAGACGAATGTTGCTTAAAACGAGCCCTGGTTGACACGTTCTGACACAACGTTGTCAGACCTGCAGCTCCCCACGGGTACAGTGCCTTTGGCACAATTCGATGAAATCTTTAATCATTATGGTCATTAATCACTACATGGCTTCATTATTCACGGCCTCGTTACTTCTTCGTTGCCGCCTCTTGCGCCTCTCTCCAACCTCCGATACTTCTCCTCGCTTTATTTTGCCCTGTTGCGTCCATTTCTCTCCAATGGCCCTCGCCAACGAGCTCGTATCTTTCGCCTCCATTGGCTAGTTCTTGTGGTGCAGTCGTATCCACCGCGTCTGCCTCGAGTATCTCGGTGCCGTGTTTCTCGTTCGGCGTCTCGGGACCCCACGTCAAGTTTCCAAACTCCGTATATGGGCCCACTCCGCCTTCGCCGTACGGTCCCATTTGAGCAACGGCTTCGGCTTCCTTCAGACGAGCAGCCTCGGCGGCCTCGGCTGCCCGTTGCCGCCTTCTCCGCACTAGGAGGAGGATGACACCTCCAGCAAGCGCAACAACTCCACAAGAAACGCCGATCCCTATGCCAGCCTTAGCTCCAGTCGACAGGACAACTGGTTTCGCTGAGGCCGTCGATGAAGCTGAAGGTGTTGCTGTTCCCTGGGGCTCTTCTTCGACCGCCTTTGTTGCGTTGAAGCTGGGTACCACCACGGCCTGTTTCCAAAGACCATCTTCGGCATGGTATAACTGAACCAGGCTCCCATTTGACTGGTACCATATCCACGCTTCGCTGGTGTCAAAGTTGCTTGTTGTCGCGAAAGAGCCACTCGCAGCATCCGCAGCAGGCCAGAGACGTGCATCCTGGTCAGGCATGAGCTTCCACTGCCAATCGATGTTCGACATTTGATGCAGCCTCGCATCTGTTCCCAGGTAGAAAATGCTGCGCACATATGCTTTATCCACCGTTGCGCCTAGCGAAGTTAGGTTACTTGCGAAAGCCGGCATGGTGAAGTTCGGAGTAAGCGTCGAATCGAGGTGGATATCGGCTGCTTTCGTCGATTCATTTGCGTTCCCTAGGAGTGGGCGAGGCAGAGTAGCTTTGCAATGGTCAGCAAGTGAATAAATCACGACAATAAGGGGAAAACGGACCAAGATGCCACGTCTCGTCCTTGAAAAACCTCGATATTTCGACATTCTCCGAGTCTTTAGGAAAGACAACAGACATATTGAGCTGCCCCGAGTGTACCGAGGTCAAGGCCATTCCTTCCACAGGGTCCTGCGATATTGGCCCCTGCAACTGCCAGTCGGTCTTGGTCGTGTACGATAAAACATTGACCGTCTTTGCTTCATCGTGAAAGAAGACACGATATCCATCATCCGCACCCAGTAGCTCGACGGCTAGGCCAGTCTGGTTGTGTATGGACTCGAGCCCGGCCGTTGCTGAGATGACGTACTCGCCCTTGATGGCGTAATGGCCTGTATCGAAATTGCAGGTGAAGTAGCCGTTCACAATGGAGTTGTCCTCGGCCTGATAGAAAATCGAGGCCTGGAAGGAGAGGTCAGTTGCGACGTTTCACACTGTGAAGCCAGAAGAGACTTACAATTGTCGTCTTCTTCGGCACATCGTACCACCCAGCAGCGGCGATAGATGTGCCAAGTCTCGGCTTTCTCTGCAGAAGAAAAATGTTGAGCCCATCTGTTGGCAAGATGGGCGTCGAGTTGCTATTGCAAGCGGTGTACTGAATATCGCCCGTCGCAGGGTCTTGCAACGCCAGATGGGGGCTCAGCTCTGTCCACCATGCCGTGAGACACGATACTGGGGAGGACAAGACAAGCAACACCCCCAAGAGAATTCCAAAGGATCTCGCCATTATTAGGAAGAATGCCGCATGGAAGCTGGTGAACACAGACGGCTACGGCGAATGACCGCCAAGACTATCGCTAGGAAAAGTCTGGGTTCTTGCTAAAGGCGATTCAACTCTGCAAGAGGGACTCGGTAATCTCGATAGGCCGGGACCTAATAGTCGTGGTGAAAAATCGACACGGGCGGAATAGGGAGACGCGAAGGAGTTGGTTGCCGCTCAGACTCGGGGATCGCTGGGTTTATCACTATCCACCCCATGCAGTATTCCGGCGGGGATGTATTGAACCGGGCTTCCGTGATGCTCAGTTGCATTTCAATCCCAAGTCGGGAAGCTCAACCGCAGCAACCTGACTTGCAGTAGCGCGACCCCCGGAAGAGTCTACGAGGCAAAGGGTCCCATCGTTCTGCCTCCACGAACGACTTGAAAGCTCGTTGGCTCAGAGACATTTTCAGCCCGTTTGTTGATCTACCCATGTCGCTGACACAGCCATCGGTCTGGGAAGTCGCGTGGGGCTTTCGGGGGCGAAGACCGGCCATTGAGCAGGCAGGCAACGCTGATGAAGAAGACATTGACAAATAAGGTCTATGCCGCGATCAAGGGTCTTGAACAAAGATACCAGCCAAGCCTAATGTGTAATGGTGTCCGTGTGGATTTGGCTTTAAGAGTTCGGCTGTGGCGTTGTCGGTAGGGCTTGGTGTGCCTGCAGTCTGCTTGATCCAGAGCCAACAAGATGTCAACGCCCGTATAGATACAGCTGATCACAATAACGGCGGTTGACGAGATATCCGGAGGGGGCCATGTGCGGTTGCCTAGCCCTGACGACTATGCCGTCAGCACAAACACCGAAGATGCCCTCTCGTTCATTGATTCGTTCCCTGGAAATAACACTTGCTGAAAGGCTTTGGAGAAGGTAACGAAGCTAATCTACGACTCTCTAAGTCCAAGTCTCTCAACGGGCAAAACACAATACAGAACCAACCTCCTCGTGGGCCATGAACAAGGAGTCAAAGACCGAAGACATGGGATATCGCCCAGGGTTGGGGGCCAGAAAGGCCTTTTTTCCAATGGTCTCTCGCTTCGGTTTACCTCCTTGGAACGAGCTTAAAGCCTGCGCTGCAACCCCAGCCCGCAAATCTCTCCTCCGAGTCTAGGGGAAACCACATTAAGACGGGGCCTGAACTACTCCACACATTTCGCTGGTGGTGCTTACTGAGCGCCCACCCTTCCCTACCATGCGAACGACCAGGTTCGCCCTAAACCTTGTGGCTCCTATTGTCAACTCGCGAACCTACGACCATGCAGTCGTGCGACATCTCGTTCCTTCAGACTCTGGAGGTACTTCGGTTTCTAGTTGGTGGCTGAAATTCAAGACGTGGAAAAACCATTACGCTGATTTCCCCCCGGGTTGCCCATACGAAAGGCACAGACAATTCGGCCACATGCCTCCTCACGCCTAGTAATCAACGGCCCCCAAACCGAATCCTTCAGCCGCAGAGAGCCTGATTGTTCACTGGCGAGAGGTGCGAGGTAGAGACAATCTTTGCTTTTTTGCTCACCTCCAAATCCTCATCTTCCTCGTCTATTCTAACTGAAAACTGGGAACTCCCCTGACACTCTGCAATTTCATGGTCAGAGATGGGCCGCTATGCGCTCAGCAGCGGCTGATCGATGCTCATTGAATATGGGGGCCAGTCAAATCACATCACATCGACACCACCCCTTGTCACTCTTCCTCTGACATCAGCCCAGCGCAGCATTCACTTACTTACCACTTACCTACCCAGGTAAGCTTATCTATTGTACCATTCGGATTTCAGCCCTTTTCCGAACGGGAAGGATTTCCCCTCGTCCGTTCCCCCAGGGAAGAGAGGTCTATTGGAGTCTCGGGCCATTGATTGCCGTCGCCATGTGGCCAATGCTAACCCGTAACTTGTAACGGGGTATAGTTTGGTCTACTCCGAGAAAGTCAAGGGTTCTTTGAAATGTCGATTCAGACTGCATTCGGATAGGAAGCAGATAGATAGGCTATCATGGCCTATGATCGCCCGTGAGCCAACACCTCGACCAATATGCAAAGTGACCTGAAGTAGGAAGACTCGACGAAGAAAATCGGTCTCACGAATCAGTGAGTGTCTTGATTCTTGTACGCTCGCCACCACAAGGCTCCCAGGTTCCGGGGTCCGAGGGCTTGGGGGACACATGGGAAAAGGGACGAGAAGTGCGGACGAAAAGAGCTCATAATTCGTCCGAACCGAGCCATATCCGTTCGCCACCCATATCCCGTCTTATCTACGGATATAGACTATACTTTTGTAGCTATCTATCCGCCCGAAGCATGGAGTACGGTTTATCTGTACCCGCACGACACCCACAATCTCTCGGACTGATTCTCCACGCCTCGGACTGGGGACGGGCGGCCGTTGAGGCTACACTAGTTTCTGGAGTCTGGACGGCTGTGAGGTTCTAGACCACGCTTCCCAGGGGCGGAGATGTTGCCCCGAAACGGGGTGCGATACTCTGTCGCTTTACCATGTTTGCAAGGTTACAAGGTCGAGGAAGCCAGGCGACCGGGTCACCTTGAACATGGAAAAAGTTCAAAATCCCACTCCAGCCGGTCTTACTCTCACGGGTCATGCAGTGCGGGGAGGAGAGCGACATCGTCTAGTCTAATAAAAAATGTATTTCATCAAGTTTCCCTAGGTAATAATCAAAGCCAAACCCCGACGCGCCACATCTCCCCAGCTTGAATCAAGTAGCACCCTTTCCTTTCCCGTTGTATTTAGTTTTTTCTCCTTGTATTAAAGTAGCGCCTGTTCGCTTGCACCTTGCGAGTGGCCTCCTCTTGCGGCGACTTTTAATCGTCGAGGCCTCTCTTGACGTCCTTTGCCTTGAGGCCGGTGATTGGCTTCTCCGGTGTGTGGTGGAGAGGTCTGCCGGACAGCATGTTGACCACGTCGCCCATGTGCGCCCAGTGAACGTTCTTGGGCCGGCGGTTCTTCCAGTCCGTCTCGTGGTCCTCGAGATCCCAAATGGGCGTAAATGTGACGCTGGCACCCTTGATACCAATGACAGAAGCGCTCATGGGGTCCCTCTTACACCTGTTATGCGACTTGGGACGGAACTCCTCGAGGTGCTGCATGCACTTGATTGCCAGTCTGACGGCACGGCATCTGTCCATGGGCGAGGGAACGCCACCCTGCTGGACGTGTCCGGGGATACTGTCGCGAGATTCAAATCGGCCGCGCGCCTCCTTGCGGATGATGTCCGCAATGAGCTTGGCGTTGAACACATCGTCGGCCTTCTCGTTGATGAGGATCAAGCGTCCAGACGATGACTGGCCCTTATCCTTGGAGAAAATCTCGCGGAGATGGCGAACGTCAGCGGCCAGCATCTCGAGGTCCATACCCTCCTCTGGCGTGTAAACAGCGCTCGCGCCGACGCTGAGGCCGGCAAGAGTCGCGATGTATCCAGACTTGCCACCTTGTGTCTCAACGACAAACACACGGCGACGCGTGGCGGAAGCGGACTGCTTGATCTTGTCGCAGTACTGCACAAGCTCGTTCAAGCAAGTATCGGAGCCAAGAGAGTATTCTGATCCTGGAACGTTGTTGGAGATCGTAGCTGGCAGGAGAACCATGGGAATGCACAGAGAAGGGTAGAGCTCTCTGGCCTTGCGCAATTGCGAGACAGCGTGGTAAGCCTCGAAGCCACCGACGAGGAACAAACCATCAAACTCGTACTTCTCAATCAGGTTGGCGATGAGCTCCATGCCAGACTCTGCAGGAAGTTCTCGGTTGGTACCGATTTCGGATCCTCCCTTGCTGGCCCAGCTGTCAACCTCAAGCCAGTCGAAAGGTCGCACGGCACCGACGGGCTTATCGCCATGATGCCTAGCGAATCCGGCAAAGCCATTGTGGATGGCGACAGGCTCATGGCCACGCGAGAGACAGTAGGCAACACCAGCGCGCACAGCAGCGTTCATACCACCAGCAGGGGCGCCAACGTTGATGAAGCCAATCTTCATTCTCTGCGAGGTTGTCAGTTTTCCATTTTCTATTGTAATCGAAGCTCAATTGACAAACCTCCTTCTCTGGCAGATGGTGGTCATCCACTCTGACGTTTGTGGTCATCATGTAAGAGCTGAACATCTCGGCAAACTCAGTGTCACGGAGACCCATTGCCTTTTCAAACTGCTTCTCGTCAACCGCCTTTGCAACCTCTTTGGTATCCTTGACAGCTTGCATCAGCGGCTTGCGGCAAATTTGGTTTTCGTTGATGGCAATGAAGCAGGTCTCGGTCTCGGGGGTAGCCTCCAGAACGGCCTTGACGGCCTCTACACCTTGGAGGGTAGCCAACATTCTGTCGTAGGCAACGGCCGTACCGCCACGCTGAACGTGACCGAGTGTTGTGATGCGGGTGTCGAGAGCCAGCCCGTTCTTGTCTGCGAGCAGGTCCTTGACCATGTCGGATGTGATCTTCTTGCCGTTGCTGTCGTTGGCGCCCTCGGCAATGATGACGATGGTCTTGCGCTTTCCAAAGCTTCGGTGCTACAGCCTGTCAGCGTCGTCTTGGCTACTACTGGTGCCAGGTCTTCTGGTCTTACCCTCTTCACAATATCACACATTTCTTCCTCCCAGTTCTCTTCTCTAGGCTTCTCAGGGATGAAGATAAAGTCGGCGCCTGTCGCGACACCGGCCATGAGAGCCAGCCAGCCGCAATGGCGGCCCATGACCTCGATAACGAAAGCTCTCGAGTGGGACGAGGCGGTGGCTTCAATGTAGTCGACCATTTCGCAAATGCGCTCGAGGGCAGAGTAACATCCAATGGTGGCATCGGTGCCGGACATGTCATTGTCGATGGATCCGACCAAACCGACAATATTGAGGTGTCTGTAGGGATCAACCTGCTCCTTCTTGAGCTGGCCGGAGGAGACGAGCTCCTCAATCAGGGAAGGCCATTCGGCGCGGAACTTGTCAGCACCAGTGAGGGAACCGTCACCACCGCAA